TATATATATATATATATATAGTAAGAATGTGGTGAACAATTACAATCGCAATTGGATGGCAACAATTTTTTAGAAATTCAAACAGTTGTGCTTGATTGTCCGTGAACATGCAACAAATTTTCTGCTGATATGCAAAATTACCAGCATTATGTACATGTATACTTTGATTATTGTTTCAATCAAGTTACTGTTATACAATGATTTGTATACATGAAAATTATCATTATACGCAGATCCAGCAGAATCAATGTCTGTAAGAAATTCCGAAATGGCCTCGCTAGCAGTCGTTCGTGAATTTGATGCTGACGCTTCAAGCTGAGGTTTAGCTTAAATTGCAGTCAGATTTTTCAAGAGTTCACGGGGATTGCACGAGAAATCTTACTGTGAGTGATCTACGTAAGTAGTGAATCTTATGCATATGCACTGTCCAATGGAGGCTCACTATTACTAAGTTCACTATGTCTAATGCTTTTGAAGGCACAACAAACGTACAGAATCAAGGCATTCACGGCTTGGCTGCCTGGTATTCTAGACCTGATATTAGAAACGCTCAGTACAGATGGGCTTTAAGCGATGAAATTGTTAAACATAAAAGTTTAGCTAATCAGTAAGCGTATATCAAGGAAGACACGAGCTTCAAGGGATCTCTCACGAGAGCAACAGAAAAAACAATTGTACATTTGCATTACTGGACTGCCACGGAATAAACTTGTGGATTTTGCAAACAAAATCTAGATTTTGAGAAATTTTTTTGTCCATCCAGCTTTTCAATACTGCCCTCGCTGTTCGCTATTCATGTCGTTCACCGGAGGTTGTATTCAACAAACAGATGAATTTCGCCATAAAACCAATTTAAAAATCTGTCTCTTCATTACGACGATACAAATAAATGGTTTCATTGGTATTCAGCATTCTCAATCGAATACATAAATATACATAAATAACTGCGGATAAATATATAGACATACTTTTTTTTGATTCCTGATGTGTTTGTAGTTGTATATATGTGTACTTGACACATTGATCGTCTAAGCATTGTTGTTTCATGATGCTAGCTGATGCCGTTACATCACAATTAATCGTGAACTCATTCATCTATCTCATACATTTCGTATCATATCATTCCTCCCATATTCCTTTGACATAGTGTTCATCCTCTACTGCTAACAACACGTTTGCCTTTGTCACTCCTCAATTACTTTTCTCACTGTTTATTTTTCCAGCTAGAATGTATGTTATTGTGGATGATTGTTAACAGATGATACATTCTCGCGAGTCCCTTGCTTCCTGAAAATGTTCAATATTCAACTTCTTTTGATTTTGTTTCACATTTTTGCCGGTGAATATCACTTATGTCGTTCGATCAAGCGCAAAATGTTCCAAGAGAATAGTTTTCATTTTCGTTTTTTGCATCAATCTGCGTTTACATGCATATTTTGTAAAGAACAAAAAATGGGAATTGTCATCTTTAAGCAGTTAACAAACGAGCTTTCATTCTGTTTGAATATTTTCGGTGCCTGGAATTCGCTGCATGTGTGTATGTGAAGTTGTTATGTGATGTATACTGTAAGCAAGTTGGTCGATGACGTTGAATCTTAAAATGGAATGAGTGATAGCTGGTGTTGATGCTCATTTGGAGTATATTTGAGATTGTGGTTGAATTTTGTGAAATGCAATTTGAAGGGAAATAATGCACGGATTTTTGTGAGCTTATTGATTATGCAGTGAGGAATACGCATGCATTGTGCATAGATTTTAATGAGTGCTGATATGATCGCTAAATGCATTACATATTAGATTTCAAAACGACACTGCTTTTACTTAGAATGCAAATCTCAGTGGATCTATCAGTTGATTTGCCAGCTAAGTGAATTGTCTCTTTTTTTGTTGCACTATTGTCATTTACGTGCTATTGCAAACGGATTCTATTTTTTTAAAGTGGAATCCATTCATCACCTTATTACTTGTATATACATATTTTTATCAGTTTATTTCTCGTTTTATTTACGCTTCATTTGCATATTTATGCTTGATTTTATGTTTGTGTTTTTACGTTTTGTTAATTAATATTCATCATTTTTTCTTGCAGTATGCCATTCGAAGTACACTGTTCATCTTTTCAGTTTGATTCCATTGACATTCTATTCTATCCAGTTGATAAGTAACGACTTCTCGCTTTTATATAGCTAAGGTCTCATGTTGCTAACAATTGTTTGAAAAGAATACTCATCATTGTTACATCATAATCCTTCAATATTCCATGTATCGTCGAGTGCACGGAAACCGACCTCCTGTATTTAATCCATCTGAAATTATCGTGACCTCCTGTAAATTATCATGATATTTAATCTAGAGTTTACGTATTTAATGCCATCTGTTTTGAAATTCCATTTGCATTATCATGATTCAATGAGTGTCATATGGTATTGAATAAAAATATTCGATCGTAAATAATATAAAAATGCTTTGAGTCATCCTCCTCTATATCTGACTCGGATCTTTGAATGGATACTACTTCCATGAGCCTGGATAAGCCAGACGACTTTCAGCGGATGAGAGCCTTCCTTGTTCGGAAATCTCCCAGAAATTGGTAAATATTCTTTTAAAAACTAAATGTTACCGCAAAACGCCGTGTGTGGCTTCTTAAAGTGACATCAATCATTATTGATTGCCTCAATAATTAGCTTCCAAAAGGTATGCTGTTGCTGCTCGTTTTGAATGAGACATATTCTTTAAAAATTGTGAATAACTGCGACAATTATATTTTTTCTGTATGCCATCATTAAAATGGGTATTTTGGATTTATACTATCCTTCTAATACCAGTCCGTTCAACGTTGAGTGTTTTCCATTCCAGCTGTTTAAAATTAGATAGAGTTCTGCAAAGAAATCCTATTTAAAACCATCATGA